CAATATGTAGTTGCTGTTATCATCGATTTCAAGTTGCAGTGGCACACTGTGTTTGTAGCGTGACAAAATAACATTTTTTGGCGTCAAGCAATTGAAACACACAGTAGATGTATGTAATTTAAAATGATCTGCTTCAGGGGAAGAATGTTTTAGTTAGCTACATACATAGTTAGTTTGAGTTTCATATTGATGTACATATGTATTTATGTAAAATAAGGTAATATCATATGCACACAAGGGGTGGGTTTTGGGGTTCAAACCCCGCCTAAAGCAAATAACCTCAAATACAATCTGTATCTTAAAGCTAAGAATCCAGCTCTTAAGGAAATTATAAGAAATATTTATTATAATTTCTGTTGCTTGAAAAAGCGCTTTGCTTTTGCTGTAAATTTTCATGAGGGAATAAATATACGAGCATTTTTTTTCTTGAGAGCTGCAAACTGATTTAAGAAATTTTGGTAGAAGAAAATTTCTTTTCCATTTCTCGTCCGTCGTTTTATATGAATTTTTCGTTTTTCTTGAGAGTTCAGTTAATTTTTTCGGTATTTGAAATATTAAAAAAATTTAGCAATCGTGAAAAANGTAGTTTTTAAGGAAAGAACACAACCGACTTCAATTCTCATATTCAAATTTCGGGGTACCGTTAATTTCTTTATGATCTAATCATCGGATCTCTAAAACAAGTTACGGGACGGCCCCTGAGGTACTATCTTTCTAAAAAAAAAAGGATTATTGAAAACGGTTCACGTGGTCCAAAGTTATGTATTCCGGCGAGATGATAACCTCCCTTTTTTTGAAGTCGGTTAAAAGCGTTTGAGTTCTATTAATCTGTAAATAAAGTGCAGTTTATGAATTTTAAAACGTTTATTTATTTATTACATATTGTACATAAAACTTGCATAAATGTATTTTAAAGAGGGTATTATCTAAAGCAAATTTTAAGTATTTTCCGGTGATATATCTTCAGAAATATAAAATCCCCCCTAAAATATATTCCTGGGTGCGCCCCTGTATGTATGTAATGTAAGTGTACTCATATTCATATATAGGAGCTAAAAACTACTTTAATGTTAATTATGTTGGTTAGATCACGAAAGAAGCATCTGCCAGATACAATAAGCATGCTAAAAAAGATTACGGACGTACTTTAATGGGAATCAGTTATGTTATTTATTTGAAAATGAACGGCGCCTCCAACGCCCCTTCACATTATGACATTCGTACTTGTAGGTATACCTGTCGTTATCGATATACATACATACATATGTACGAATATCAATGCACATTTGTTGAAATTTTTGCCTATTTAACCAATGGTACGTAATGTTGATTTGTGGTCGCTGGGGCTGAGTGCATAGTGGTGCGTACTTCCAGTCCGTAGAGCCTAGCTTCGATCCCTGGCTCGAGCAACATCTAAATTATAATTTTATTTTTTTTTTTTTTTAACAGCGGTCAAACCTCCGCTCGGCATTAGAAAACCTCCGAGTAATTTTTTCTCTTGAAAAGGCTTCTCATTAAAACCATTTGCCGTTCGGAGGAGGCATATAGTTGTAGGTCCCTCTATTTGTGTTATAACCAGGGCTTGAAAAGGCTTATTTTGCATATTTTTGGCAATTTTGTTGGTTTTTGCATATGTATATTCGACTTACCCGAAGCCGTTTGATACCAAACGAGGTTTCAGACAAGGGGACTCCCTCTCGTGTGATTTCTTTAATCTTATGTTGGAGAAGATAACAAGAGCCGCAGAACTGAACCGCTCAGGCACAATACTTTATAAGAGCGTACAATTGCTGGCGTATGCCGACTACATCGATATTATCGGTAAAAACAAGGGATACGTCTGTTCTGCCTTCTCGGGATTGGATAGAGAAGCAAAGCGAATGGGTCTGGTGGTGAACGAGGACAAAACGAAGTATCTCCTGTCATCACACAAAGAGTCAGAGCATACGCGTCTTGGCACCGACGTCACTGTTGACAGTTACACGTTTGAAAAAGTAGACGACTTCGTTTATTTGGGAACCAGCATTAACACCAATAATAATGTCAGCCTTGAAATCCAACGGAGAATCACTCTTGCCAACAAGTGCTACTTTGGGCTGAGTAGGCAATTGAGAAGTAAAGTCCTCTCTCGTCGTACAAAGATCACACTCTATAAGTCACTCATCATGCCTGTGCTGGTGTATGGCGCGGAAGCATGGACAATGAAAGCATCTGATGAGGCGGCTCTTGGAGTTTTCGAGAGAAAGATTCTGCGAAAGATTTACGGACCTTTACGCGTTGGTGATGGCGAATATCGCAGACGATTTAACGATGAGCTGTATGAGCTTTACAACGATATAGACATAGTGCAGCGAATTAAAATTCAGCGGCTCCGCTGGCTTGGCCATGTCGTTCGGATGGACAGAAACGCTCCTGCTCTGAAAATATTCAACGCGGGCCGCGATGCTGGTAACAGAGGAAGAGGAAGGCCTCCTCTGCGTTGGAAAGACCAGGTGGAGAAGGACTTGGCTTCACTTGGCATTTTCAATTGGCGTCAGTTAGCACAGAAGAGAAATGACTGGCGTGCTGTTTTGGACTCGGCCAAAATCGCTTAGGCGGTTACAGCGCCAATTAAGAAGAAGAAGAAGATATTCGACTTACGTGCATATTTTTGCATACTTGGAAGCATTTCATACTTTTTCGGCGAAAAAGAGACCATAGATTCGTGAAAAAAGGCGCATTCATACATATGTACATATGATTTTCATACTCATGCTACCACGTTGTATTAATTGTCCTTGATACAATGCGAGGCGAACTCAAGACAATATGTAGATATGTGAATTCATGTAACGAGTAATTCCGATTAAAAAATAAACCAGTTTTATTTTGGTGGTTGCACTAAACATTTAAAGAGGAAAATCTAATAGAAGAAAAGCAAAAGTAAAACGGAAATTTTGCAAAGAATAGCAGAGAGTTCATGATTATACGGACCCAAAGACAAACGGATATTCTGTAACTTGACGCATAAGCATCGTTGACTGTGATGGTGGCAGTAGCGGTGACGGTGACGCAATGGATGGTATGAACTTTCACTTTAAAGTAGAAGTGATTTTGACATTTCTCTCTTTTAAACACCGACTATAATGTCATATGGTGAATAACTATTAACCCTTTACAAGTTGGCATTTTCTATTTTTCAATTCAAATTCAAATTCAATTACGTGCTGTGGATAGTTTTGAATTGTGTGTGTTTTTTTTTTGTTTTTCGACCACTTCCATTTAGAGATACATAGGGGTCATTCCATACAATATTTACACCTCAATATTTTTTTTTTTGGGTGAAATATATTTTTTTACATTCTTTATCGAAAAAAGAAGACAACTATTATTTTGTTTGGTCATGATATTCGAAAATCTCGAAAAAAAAATTCCCGAAATTTTGAAGAAGTATCTTTTTCAATTGTTTGCAGTTAATAAACTGTTTGTCGGAGAAAATCAGTTAAGGTATCAAAATGTGCGTAATTACATTGAAATAGAAACTGAAGCATAACAATTAAAATCTATTTATTGCTGTATGAAAGCTCAGTTATGCAAGACTTTGACTTTGACTTGACTTGAAAATTGTATATCTGGCAAATGAGCAGCGCGTGTATGTGTGTAGTTACCCAAAAAGAAACTTGGAGAACTATAGATTTTGATTTATAAGTTAAATTTCTAAGGGAAAAGAGAGCCACGAGAAAATTATGCTGCCATTTAATTTTTTAATAAAATCCCTGGAAATATGTCACACAAATATAATTTTTATTAATTAAACGTTTGCAATTTTACGTGTACAAATACAAGTGCTGAGAATCAAAACAAAGAGAAAAGGTAATAGGTGACACGCTTAGTAGTCGCGTCTAAGCTTCTAGGTAAGTCAAGTCTAATGGTCTGATTATGGCAACTTAACGTACGGCTCTCTCTTAAAAATTCTTTGTGCTCAAAAAGATAAAAAAAAAATAAACTCAACACCAGTTGTATAGGGCGCACATGCCTTTTTTCGGGACAATTGCGTTATGGTTTGAGATGTCTTTGAATTCTTTCTAAAAATCCTATGCTAAAGCCACTTGGTTTATTCAAGTGAATTAGAAAAAAAATAACCTGCCTTGTATTATTTTGTTAATAAAAAAGTATTCGATAAAAAATCAGCGATTAGCTTTCTATATGAAAATAGCAAACAGTAACAGTCCAAAATATTAAAAAGTTTTTTGGCGCGGAATCCACCAAACTAAAAAAAGGGAAAATATAGTTTTCTTCGAGCATTTTCGGCCTTATTTCACACTAAAATAAAATAGTTCTATATACTCTTCATTGTCAATATGTTTTCGGTGGATAGCTATTTGTAACGTAACAGTCTTTTGAACTAATTTAATTTTCAGGTAACATTTTTTAGTTTTAGTTAAATACCGGGCCCAATTTACAAGCAACATTGGAAGCTATTCAACGTGTTATTGTCCCATAGTTAAACCTGTAATAAGAAGATAAGAATTACGTACAAAATTAAAAAAACGCGATATTTGTATTATTTCAAAAAGGAACGAACTCAAAAGAAGCGAAATATGAAGCCAAAAGAATAAGAAGAAGATTTTCGGATTAAATAAAAAAAAATGTATTGGAACTATTTCGCCTATTTTTCTAGTACGACTATTATTCTTCAAAATGCCATTAAAGCCGTTTTTCGCGAAATTAACCGCGAAAAACTCAACATCTTAGCGCAGTTCTAAGATCGAGTTCGAGTTTTCCGCGTTTTGGGCCATATATTTATTATAAATTTAAAAATCTAAATAAAAAACGAAAAATGCAGGGTGTTTTCTACTTCTTCATAAAATTTCTTTAAAATTGATTATTCTTCAAAACGAGATTGCAAGAAAACCCATCCAATGCCTAACAGTAAAGATATGTATGTGTATGTAGTATGTAAGCACCCATTTTTAATTCAAAAATGTTCATATTCAAGTGAAGCGAATATAGAAATAATTGTTTTTCATTTTTATTTTAGCTATTTTTTAGGTAAATTAATTTAATTCACATATGAATGTATATCATAATTTATGTGCGCATATTTCTGGCATTACTAAAACGAAAGCTTATTTATATGTATAAACTGAAGCATTTAAAGAAATAATAAAGAATGTCGATGTTGCCATGTTTAAGTTAAATGTAAAGGTTTACATTCTTATTGACAACGGTTAAAGTGGATTTGGCATCGAAAAGAAGAAAACAACAACAACAATAACAGCTACAGCTACACTGACAATTTCGACTAAACGCAGGGATGCAAGTATCAGTGTGACTCAGACTGTTTTTTTTTCTATAATTACGATGGAGCTGTTCGCCTACATTTTACCTTCCATACTACAATGGCTGTGCATATATGGCACTTCTGCGGCAGACGTCCTGTACGGTAAGTTAAACGATCGGCTCTTAAATGTTGCATATAATCGCCATATGAATGTATGTATATGCAAGCGATGCTATTTGACTATTTAGTTATTTTACAGAAAAAGTAAAGACATTTTTTAATGGAAACATGGAAAATACTGTTATAGCTGTTGTAAAGATTCCAGCAAATTTCATATATATTAGTATATACATAGCTTAAAATTTTTGGTATAGATCATATACTAGGCCTTTTGTATTCATGGTGACGATACATATGTACATAACGTATGCACATATGTATGCAGTACATCTTTATTGTATGTGGAATACATATCGATATGTATGTATATAAATGACAACTTCTTTTTGCTTTTTAGAAAAGTACCCCTTGCATTTGCAATGAAATATTTAAAACAGATTTAGATATTTTTGCAATGTTACTACTAGATTTTTTTTTAGCATTTAAGGACATATTTTTTAATCGAATCTTAAAAAAATGAGGCGGTTATCAATTGTCTCTCTAAAACTTTTTTATTTTATTTTTATTTTTTTGCTTAAAAATTACTTGTTTATATAATTTAATTGAATCAATAAACTCACAAATGTCAGAGTTGTGTTATCATTTATGTATGTACCAAGGATGCACTGTAACGTAAATTTTAACGTTTACCAAAAAAAAAAGCAATCCTTTCTGTTGAAACGATGCAGTTTTAACGTCGTTTAGGTAATTATCAAAATAATTCTATTTTGGTTTTTAACGAAAAGAAATTCAATCGTTAATGCTGAAGCTATTGCATGCATTTAGGTGCTAGGTGTTAATAGTGAGCTGGCAATGGCATACAACAACAACAACTTTTCGTTGATTTATTTTGTTTCGATGTTAACAATTGAGTTTTGTTTCGTTTTAATTTAGCTCTGAAGCAAAACGAAATTATTTTGATAAGTTATTTGATAAGCATCAACAAAACGAAGTGGATTCATATAGTTTGTAGAGCATCCTTGGTATGTACTGCTGCTCACATACACACTCCTAATGTTTTAGTAAAGCCTCTAAATGCTATTTAACTAAATTATAGGACAGCAAAACATAACTCTTTGAAAATTAGGGAAAAATTCAATGTTTAAGTTTGTCTTACGAGTGTAAAAGTATGTATACATATATTTCTTCCGATTAGGATTGCATTCTGACGAACTCAAATCCGGTGCACTTATCGTTCCAAGGCGTGTTAATGAACGTGGAGAATTCCTGACTCACGATTTGGCCTATCGCCATGACCAAAACTATCGCTCTGAACATAGCCGTCGTCGTCGAAATGTGGCTAAAAGTATTGAAAAAGTACACTACAGACTGGATGTGGAAAATCAGACTATACATCTTGAATTAGAGTAAGAATTAATACAATTTATCTAAAATTTTCAACGTTACCATTTGCTAAGGTGAAGCGCGTGCCTATTTTCAAAAATTATAGCATTCTTAAATACATTTGTATGTACAGCGTGGCGACGACTAACTGTTACCCAGGTATTATTTTTGAGAAATAAAAAGGTCCTTTATAGATTTTGCGAAAAAAGTATTTTATTGCTAATTTTCCCACAGATTTTACTTTATTTGTATTAATTAGTTTTTAAATTTTAATCCTTATTTACATTTGCCAACAGTGTAAACTTTGAGAGAAAAGTTCGTCAGATAATTTATTCCAAATCTTCTGTAACCACAGGCAAAATTTTCTCCATTTTGAGTCCCTTATACTCCCCCTGGTGAGTGGTGACTAGGACGGCCATTCATTCGAACAACCCTATACAATTTTTATTTTTTTTTGTCTTTTTTTATACACCTGAAAAAGACTTGCGTGCCAAATGAACTTTTCCATCAAAGTTTACACTGCTGGCAAATGTAAATAAGTATTAAAACTTAAAAACTAATTAATACAAATAAAGTAAAATCTATGGAAAATTGTTTATAAAATACTTTTTCGAAAAATTTGTGAAAGACCCTTTTATTTCTCAAAAAAAACAAAAATCCTGGGTAACAGTTATTCGTCGCCAAGCTGTATACACATACATACATATGTATGCAAATAAAATTTACATTCATATATTTACATATATTCGTTGATAGTATGTTTTCCTATCCTTTACATTTCGGCAATTCACCAAACCAAATACGTAGACCACACAGTTATTTTATGGCACCGAACATGGTTATCGAGAGACATCGAAGAGATATTCGGACTCGTCAAATGGCTATAAAAGGCACCGACTGTCATTTTCATGGCAAAGTGCGAGGGCATTTCGAGTCAAATGTAGCGATATCCGCATGCGAAGGATTGGTGAGTTAGATCTGAAAAGATATTTCCTTGATTGTAATCAATTTCAAAAAATTTGTTCTTCAATTCTACGAAATTTAATGTAAAACTTATTTCGGTTGCATGCTTACAGCAACCTCAGGCAAGTTTGCGTCTTAAATCTTTCGTTTTTGTGTGCGTGTTTTTTATTTGAATGCGCTGCTACATTATTTTATATTATTCGAGCATGTGGTGCAAATCATGCGATTTGAAAACGGTGCTATTTGGCAAAAATACTGTGGAGATATCTTAACAAAAAGGCAAAATTTCTCGTAGTTTCCGTTTTAAATATTTATTACATTCTTTACAAATAAATAATTGCAAATCGTACCGTTTTCAAATCACACGATTTGCAGCATTGTATTATTTTTGAACTTATCACTAGCTTAGAGTGAACAGCTGCCAAGTCCGTTTTTGTTTTTTTTTTATTTTACAGCAGAGGAAAAAATATCCCAAAATAATTTTTTCCAGGTATTTTGCAAACTTTTTCATACAAAATTGTTTCATATTTTTTCATTTTCCTTTCCTGCTTCACCGTAAAGTCCAATTTTCCTAAAAAGTGGACTTTTCACTCTGAGCACGCGATACACTATTTCCAATAAAATTTTAAATAATTTTAAAAATTTCATACTTTTTATATTTCAATATAGGTCGGTCACATTAAAACAAAAAATCATGAATACTACATTGAACCCTCGAAAAACGGTCACGCTGACACAGTAAATGGGCGTCCCCATGTACTATTTAATAGATCATCTTTAAAAGTAAAGGTAAATATGAAATTAAACTATATTAAATTTAATTAGACTACTTTTTATTAGATAAAAAAATCGAATGGAATGAAATTGCATGCATACATATCCATGCGCATTAGGGTGGTCCTTAAAAAAATCAAATGAACGGTTTTTGCCAGTCTCACACGCCCTCAATGGGTAATAACACGGTCACAGATATCGCATACAAATTTTGGTCCCGATTGGAAACGGTTAAGGTGTGTCGCACGGGGAGCAAATTTCAGATTCCAAATTTTTTTTTCATATAATACCCAATATTGATACTATCATAGTCATAGTCGATTAAGGCGTGGCGCAAAGCGGTCAAAGGCCAGAGGCTATGGACTCAAAAAATTAAAAATATTTTACTCATTTACTACCCAAAATCGATACTACTAAAGTCGAGCCTTAGGAAATCTGATGATAAAATTTGCTTCCTACATTTAAGGACCGCCCTAATGTACATATATGTATTATATTTAAGGAATTATTCTCTNGTATTACTAAAGTCGAGGCTTAGGAAACTTGATGATAAAATTTGCTTTCTACATTTAAGGACCACCCTAATGTACATATATGTATTATATTTAAGGAATTGTTCTCTTTGCTGAATAAAGTAAAGTTCTGTAAAAACAAAAAGATTAACTCTTTCCAGTAGTGCGTTTTCCATAATCCAGTATTTGAATAAATAAATAGAAACTTTTTGGCATTTCTGGCTGAGTTTTGTCACTCTCTCTTTTTACAGAAGCAGAACATTAGTAAATCAATAAGCAATGAGAACCACAAACAAAAACAAAAGCAACGAGAGGCGCTCATCAGCAATTGCGGTACTAAGGAGCCCAAGTTACATAGCGAAACACGGCTGGAATGGCACGCGCAGGGAAAGGTATACAACAAAAAGAAAGCGTATTTGAAATTAATTTACACATGGACTGTGATTTGTTGTATCTCTCATTTCAAAGTTTATGGTGATTTCGTTCCTAGCAAAAAATTTGGGCAACATTTTTTGGAAGAAACGAAATCACCATTAAATTGCAAAATATATATCGTCATTTAAAGTACAAAACCGCGTATGTGAGGTTGCATAAATTATTTTGTAGCGAGTAAAAATGGTCCTATTTCAAAATGGTTCTTTCTTTTATAAAGCAATCGCTTTTCTGGTTAGTATATTTCGGGACGTATAAATAAGGCTTGAGTGAGAAAGGCTTCGTTGAGAAAATCCAATTTTTCAAAAAAGAAAATGACAGTTACGCGGTTTTGTACTTTAATCGGCGATATACCGCCATATTTACATATATTTGTTCAGGTCAAAATTCAAGGTGGTAGAAAATTGCGACAACAAAATGTACACCAAAGAATAAAACATCAGCATCAGCATCGACACCGACATCTCCATAAACATGAACATCATCAGCAACAACGACAACAACATAAAAACTCATTGCAAAATATGCTAAAGCGACGTCATCGGAAGTATCATCAACTATCTGAACCGCCATCGCAGCAGTCACCGCCGAATGCAGAAATGGAATTCAAATATGAGACTGCAACAGATGAGATTAAAGCGATCAGCGGCAACAAAACTGATTTCTTCATTCCCTCTCACTTCGTTAAGCAAAATAGTGAGGCCGCCACAACAACAAGCACCAACAACATTGCCGCCAACGTTCAGAACAACAACAATAGAGACGACGACAATAAACAAAGTTTAAATATGGGAAACGGAAAACGCACAAAACGTTCAATTAGCAGCCCACGTCATGTGGAAGCGTTAATAGTGGCAGATGCAACGATGGTCGCCTTTCATCACAAATTGGAGACATATCTCCTAACCATAATGAATATGGTATCGGCGCTGTACAAGGATCCCAGCATTGGCAATTCAATTGAGATTGTCGTCGTCAAAATGATTTTGCTGGAAGAGTACGAAGCGCATCCAGATCTTAATCTGACGCAAAATGCCCAAAAGAATTTGGATACATTTTGTAGGTGAGTTATTGCTTAACGATTACTTAGGCGCGACGTTATGTATGTATGCATGTATGCCCGATGTTTCCGGCTAGCCTCTGACGCTTTGGACCGATGTGCATATGAAAAAACGTGTACATATGTATGCATACGTGTATACGTAATCGTGAGTGTGGGTATACATATCCACATATGTATGTAGTTGGCGTTGTTGCTAGATTGCTTGCAGGCACATACGATTTGCATACAGCGCTGTGGCTCCCACTTTCTCGCAGATTATTCTCTGTTGACTTTGTAGGCGCCAGTTGATTTTTTTTTCTTATTTCTCCTACTTATGTATGTTTGTATTTACATATCGCTCGTTTAATAAAAAATTGCCATAACTCGAAAAACAAATTTTTGAGGAAATGATGCAGAATTGAACTTGTTACAACATGCTTCATATTGTGTACAAATTTCGTGCCAAGATTTTGTGTAGTTTGCGCGTAAGAAGGCTGTATTCATACATATTTACCTCTCCTTTTTTTTACATTTTGGGAGCAAATTGAAAACTTTGAACGCGTCCCCTGAAAATTTTCGTTTTTTGAGTTGCAACAACCTTTTAGTAAATGAGCGGCGATGTGTATGTGCATACATATTTATGCATGGATAAGGCTCGTTTTCCGTTTGTAATCCGTGTGGCGTTGGTGGTGCTTTACATTTGGTTTAGTGATCGAGTTGATGTGATAAGATAAACGCAATTTTAAGTCTAGACGTTATTAGCTACAGGAGAGTAACATGTGCATTTACAGTGTAAATACTTACTTAGTATGTAAAAATGTACATATGTTTGTGAGATATCACTCGCAAAAGTTTGTTAACTCGTGCCTACCTAAAAAATATAATATTCCATTAGGCCGAACTACAAAATATTGACAATGTATCCTGTTCCAAAACGCATCCGAAAAGTTATCGCTAGAGCAATCAGCGCATCATAAACAAAGTTGATGCTTCGTTTGTTATTGGTTGCCATTGGTGTTTTAAAAATGGAAAATTCGGAAAAATTGTTCATTGCTATATTGAATATTTAAAATATGCAATGTATATTGTTGCAATGTGTCGCAACTCTTGCAACGTTTGGAAGCCAGCCACTCTTGTTATTATTTTTATTAACGTAAAATGAGTGTTGCAATGTTAGCACCGGGATTAAAATATGTTTCACGACAGAACTTAAACTTTATGAATTAATGTAACGATATATATATTATTAAACGTGCGATATGATCAATACAACTCTCATCCAAATTTTGTTTCGATTTCACTAACTTTCCCCAATCCACCAGCTGGCAGCACAAACTGAATACAGTCAATAAAGACGATACATATCATCACGATGTTGCCATTCTCATAACAAGGACGAATATATGTGGCAACAATTGCATGTAAGAGTGGCTTGAATACTACTAGCTACTTTTTGTTTATTGTGTTTTAAGAAACCCATTTGTCACTTCCAGGACTCTCGGATTGGCTAATGTGGGTGGCATGTGCAAGCCGAAGCAGTCCTGCAGCGTCAACGAGGATAATGGTATCATGCTGTCACATACAATCGCACATGAACTGGGACACAAGTAAGTTAGTGTACATTCATATGTACATATATATATTCAGTAGATGCGAATATACATACATATGTATGCACAAACATATCGTGCAAAAAATTTGAGGACCAGTTGGTCCAGTGGGACATCATTTTGAAGTACACAACGCACATTTCCTGCATATCACAAAAATGTGGGAAAAACGGATTTAAAGTTTTGAATTTACATAACCTCCCATACTATAAATGAATACATACATACTAATAATCGATTCAAGTATGATATTTTTGCACAATGAGTTAGAAGAAGAGGCAGCGGTATTTTCTGCATACTTAACTATTTTTTTTTTTTTTTATTTGGATTTTGACGCTCTTCCAGCAAATGTGCGATATGTGCAAATGGACCAGGTTTCATATAAGATAAATAGTAACTTGTTTTACTGACTTAGACCACTTCAGACGTAAAAAGTTCAAGTATATGTTGAACGTCACCTCTTCGCAGTAAATCGGAAATTTGAATCGGTTGCGGAATGTAAATATTATTAAAACGAATTTTAAGAAACTTTATTTTATGTAAATTACGCATTTCATTAATTAGATTTTAAAGGCACCTTAATAAATACCAAAATATTCGGTTTATGCCGACTCTTATAAAGTTCAGTTCATAGTCCCAAATGGGAAAGTCGTGTAAATTTCCCATATATTTGGACCACGAAAAAACGAAAAATAAAAAAAAACAGCATCACACGATCCATCAACAAAGCTGTTTTTTTATTATTGTAAGCCGTTTTGTTTTCGTTTGCGAACGGTATCTCTTTGATATATTTTACCAGCTCCATATATGTAAAAATATTTGTCACCGCTCAGATTATTCGATAATCAACATGAAAAAAGTTTAAACAAAAAAACAATGAAAAAACGGCGCAACTGTTTGTGAATGACCAACTTGAACTTTTATTGTTTTATGCTATTCCACTTCTGAGTGAATTTCAATACTTGTTAATATGAATTCAAAGTGAATTTGGTTTGAATTCACTCGGAAGTGTTTTGCAGAACCTGCCTGATAAGCGTGGTTTGCTATTATAATATTGCCCCTCCGAATTTTCTCGAATGTCATTTTTTTTTTTTTAATTTGCCGTAATATTTAAATTATTTGTTTTGCTTGCCTAAGTGCATTACAGTTAAGAAGCGCAAGAAGTTCTTGATCGAATGACATAAGAAATAACCAAATAAAAGTAATTATTTTGTGTTTTTAAGTGAATCTATCACTGCTCCATGGTAAGTACGGCTAAATATTTCCTGAATGTCTCCCAGTTATTTATGCAAAAGAAACTAAATATAAGATAACTACCAATATAAGTTTATTGCTTAAGGAGTTTCAATGATTTCCTTGAAAAATGTCATGAAGGATGTGTAAACAACTTCAACATTAGCTTAAAAAGCTAAAAGCTTAAAAAGCATGCATTTAATGGTTAAAAATCAGTACAATGCTTATCGGTAAGTATACTTTTTTCTAACAATTTCTAAGCTTATTTATTCCTTCAGAGCTTACTAAAAAAGTGACATTCTGGAAAATATTTTATAAAAATGCAAAAATAAGAAAAAGAAATTAGTTTTTGAAGTAGCCTGAAAGTAGTTTCGTGTTTTGCAGATGATAAGTTTGCCACTCTTAAAAAAAAAAAAATAAAATAAAATAAAAAATACTTGCTATTTATGTACACTTTGTTTGGAAATTACCCACATATTAGACTTTACAAAAAATACCAAAAGCAAGCTGTTAGTCGCACAAAGAACCCACCTGTTGATTGCTTTGATTAAAACTCCGTTGACGCATGTTCTACTGCATACACTTTGATACACTGCATACACATACACATACATATGTATAAGCAGAGGTTTGCATGAGTACGGTATATTTGTGCAAGCTCTTTCAAATGAAATCCACTTAGTGCCGTTTTCTCAAGTATATTTTTAAATTTACACATACATATTTAACACATTTTTCAGAACAAAGTGATCATTTAAAGGGCAGATAAATTTTAAAACCTACTTGAGAAAACGGCCCTTAGTGTATTAACATTTTTTATGCTGAAACGAATTAAAATTGTGGGGTTTATAATGCGCAACAGTTTTGTCAGACGTTTCCAGCTGTTGGGAAACTTAAAGCTAACTATACACCTATGGTGATCCTTTTAGTCAGTTAACTAACACTTTCCTCCAATTTCCTAAAAATACATTGAGATCAAAACATTTTTTATGCAAATGCTTTATTGTTATTGCGGTTGTTTGTAATGCTGGATTTCCACTAGGCATGAAATGGCAAAAATGACAAATGACAAAGTCGGTAATTAAAAAATAATCGTGTCATTACATTAAAAAAATAATGATTAATATCATTTCCACATGGCATTTTTTTAAATGGCAGACATTTTTTGTCATTTCAATGCCTAGTGGAAATTCGGCATAACAGACTAACGGAATCGGTATAGATATAGGCCCTTATTATGAGTTGCATTCGATTTTCGATCTTCGCTGGTTATCGAAGATCGAAAGTGAAATTCGTATTATGAGCTATGCAACCGTTTCGAAATTTTCGTTGAGTATCGAATTTTCTGACGAACAGAATTTTGCTTTCGATGGTGTAGCGAAGTGTTAGAAAATTGTGAAAAATGTATGATTTTGTATATGTTTTCTTACATTTTGGCGGCTAACACTAATTTTAAACAATTTTTATTAATTTCATGCAGTTCTAACATCGTGAATACTAAACACAAGCTCGAAAGGCTGGTTTTACTTGTGAAAGAAAATCCCAATACTCTGTTGGCACGATCTCTGAGAACAAAATCGTAGCGCTGTTGATAGTTTTAAAATATTTTAAATAGATTTGGCTCACAAACGCCTCTTTAGATGGTCGGAACTTTTTAATGAATCTGTAGACAAATTTCTTAAATATGTTTTATATCAAAATATATTCGAAAGACTAATAAACTTAAACTCTCTTAAACATTTGCCACTCCTGGCCAGTTTACTTAGCTCCCCTCCTCCGACGAATCGTTGAACCAGAACTCGTTGTACTCATTTTACTACGTTTTTATAAACTTGCTTTCTTTTTTACTTCATTTTAATTAGAACAAAATTACATAAATATGTATAAGCACACTATTTGGTTTGCTCGATTTGTAAACAAAGCTTCTCAGCGGTGAAAAATATACTATTGTGAACAAACTAAACGAGCAAAATTCACAATAGCGCTATTCTTCATCGAATGAGCACCATAATACCAAATGAAAATTCGTTCGCTCAGCACTTTCGACCACAGTCGAAAATCGAATGCAACTCATAATAGGGGCCATAGACAAATGTATATCTATGTAACTACATAAATGCTCAGAATGAAAAGAGAAATCGATTAAGGTGTGACTGTCTGTCCGTTCGTGCGTCCGTCCGTCTGTGCACGCGATAACTTGAGAAAAAATGAAAATATCTTAACGAAGCTTAGAACATGTATTTCTCTCGAGTCAAGGACGGATGGTATTGAAAATAGGCAAGATAGAAGAATAAACACGCCTACCTCCCATGTAACGGTAGTCCTGAACCTATGGCGGAAAATAAGATAGTAAATTTTTGGAAAATGGGCATGGCCCCACCCACTTATGATTGCATGTTTACATATATCTCGGTAACTGCTTCACCAAATTTCTCCCAAACTTGGCACAGTTTTTGGTCTACTTAAAAGGTTCCTAACGGTTGAAAATTTTTAAAATTATACAACAACCACGCCCACATCCCATATAACGTGAATTTAGAGAAATACGAAATCTTCGATAAATCATAAACTACTGAAGAGAATTGATTCAAAATTGATGTTTGCAATAATTTTTTAGCAAGAAATACGCTTATAAAAAATTTTTCGAAAATGGGTGGAAAAAACGTATGCGGTAACCGCTTTATCAATTTGTACCAAACTCTGTATAATTATTGCCCATGACACATAAAAGCAAGACGTTGAAAATGTTTGAAATCGGACTAAAATTACACCGACTTCAATGGTAAATTTCAGAAATACGGGAACTTCGGCGTAAATTAACTCCAAGGTAATAACCATAAGAATGAGCTATGTGGGACCAGTATATGGAGCTGAAGAGGGAAGCGAGGCGTATTTGCCGCAATAAGAAGAGAGAGGTCGAAATATCTGAGTGCGAAGAGCTTAAAATGCTGGCGGACAGGAAAAATGTGCGAAAATATGACCAGAGAGTTAGGCGACTTACGGAAGGTAGTGACAGATGTCCAGAACCTACTTAAATTATGGACGGAACACTTTTCCACCCTACTGATTGGTAGCAGCACTGAAAGCTATGGTGAAATCAAACCCTAGCCCTCAGTCGATGATGACGGAGTCGATGTTCCACCACCTGCCTATGACGAGGTACGAATAGCAATAGCGCGTTTGAAAAACAACAAAGCTGCTGGAGCTGGCAGCCTGCCAGCTGAGCTATTCAAATACGACGGCGAGGAGCTGATAAGTTGCATGCATAAACTCTTATGCAGAATATGGTCAAATGAACGCATTCCCGAGGACTGGAATTTAAGTGTGCTCTACCCAAGCCACAGGAAAGGCGACCCCGCCATTCGCGCCAAGTACCGCGGGATCAGCCTTCTAAGCATAGGTTACAAGGTGTTATCGAATGTATTGTGTGAAAGACCGTCAACGAACTGATTGGGCCTTATCAGTGTGGCTTCAAACCTGGTAAATCCACCATATTTGTGTCATAACATCAAAAAGCAGAAATCGAATTGGAGAAGTTCGGCCAAACGCGTAGAAAACGGTTCAGCGCCAAACATTCATTTATTTGAATCAAATATGACATACTATTCATCCCCAAATAAACTAGGAAAAACTCGAACCTTCTATTGAAAAGTCAAGATTTGTATGAAAAGAAAAAACTGGTTTGTTCATAGGCATAATGCAGCGAATTAAAATACAATGGCTCCGCTAGCGTGGCCATGTCGTTTGAATGGACAACGATGCTC